AATCTGCCTAGTCGCTTGGGCTCATGAGGCTATTCAATTCCCCAACTAATGCCGCAGAAAAAGATTAGATGGCTATTTGTGGACATCACTCCTACAAGAAGCTGCTAATACATCCAAGCACTGCATACCCGTTGTAACTAAATTACAAAATCTTTGTTTCCGAAGCTCTGGAATTCCTCCCTCAACCCCACTGTCACTCCACTTCACTCTTCTTTAAGATGTATCTTAAAACCCACTAATAGACTGGAATATAATGTGGGCAAATGTGACATTGTTCGTTTTGGAAGGGAGAATAAAATAACAGAGCATTTTTAAATGGGGAAAAACTGCAGACAGCTGCAACACAAATGGACTTGTGAGTACTTTTGCATGAAACACAGAAAGCTAGCACACAGGTACAGCAGGTAATCAGGAAGGCTAATGGAATGTTGGCCCTTATTTCAAAGGGGTTGGGGTATAAAAGGAGGAAAATCTTACTGCATTTGTACAAGGTTCTGGTGAGACCACATCTGGAGTAATATGAGCAGTTTTGGTCCCTTTATTTAGGAAAAGAAATCTCATTGTATGCAGTTCAGAGAAGGCTCGTAAGGATGATCCCTGGTATGGAAAGGTTGTCTTCTGAGCAAAGGCTAAACAATTTGGGACTGTACTCACTGAAGTTTAGAAGATTGAAAAGTGATCTGATTGAAACATTTAGGATTCTTAAGAGGCTTCACAGGGTAAATGCTGAGAGGATGTTTCCCTTCATGGGAGCCTCGAGGCCCAGAAGGCATAATCTCAGAATAAAACGGCACTAATATAAGAATGAGATGAGGAGGAATTTCTTCTCTCTGAGGTTTCAGAGTGTTTGGGCCTCCTTGTCACAGAGAACTGTGGGGGCAGCAACCTTGAGTATATTTAAGGTTGAGATAGATTCTTGATCAGTAGTGGGATCAAGGATTATGGGGAAAGGACAGGAAAGTGGATGTAAGATGTGTCAGATCAGCTGTCATCTTAATGAATGGCAGTGCAGGCTTGAGGGGCCGAAGAGCCTATTCCTGTTTCTATTTCTTATGGCCTTATGACAATTGGACCGAGCTTTTCTTCAGCTAGTCTAATATCCCCTTATGTCTGGAATGTTGCCCACTGAATACCAAACAAAGTGAGATGTAGCTGCAATGACTAATTATTTCGCTCATCTATGCTGAGTTGAATTAAACTGTAAGGATGGATTTTGACAAACAGAAGAAAACATAGGCCACACATAACCTCTTGTCCTCATTCTGTCTGTGTTTTAATTAAAAGAGTTTCTGTTACTTCAATGGAAGTGATTTAACGAAACATAAATGTTAAATAAGTTGAACTTTGCTGAAATAAGACTTCTGTCTTTTTGCTAAGTTTATTATGTCTCACAGAGCAATATTACAAGCTAATTCAGAGTTGCTGTCAGCGAAAGCTTCACATCTACAGGGCTAGCGTGCAATCATAGGTTATAGATGCTCTCACACATTAAAAGCCAGTTTGTTTGATCTGCTTGTAAGCATCAAATTTAAAAAAAAGTCAATACATTGGGTGAGATGTGTCCTTTCACCCCCGCTAAAAATAAACTTAGCTTAAAGCAGCAGGAAGCACTTTTGTCAACATCAGCTGCTGCTCTGTGGGAAATGTAATGAGCTTACTCTCCCAATGTCTGAGCTGTGGTTAACCAGAGCGCCTTTGAGACAATCACATGTGTGTGGTCCATTTGGGAAGTTACCTTGATGGGAATATCAAGAGTGCCACAATGATCAGTATGTGGGCACCCCTGCACCCATTGGCAAATTCTCCGATTCTCAGTTCCCAGCGAATGACAAGGTGTGACCCTGGGAGTGGATCCCTGTGCCTGATTCTGGGATCACAGCTCAATCGAGTGCAGCTCTGCTTTGGGAGCTGAATCAAGCCGAATATCCTTATGCCCTGAGACGTGGCTAGTATGTGAGGAATGTCGAATTAGCCATGATTCTATTGAATGGCAGAGCAGGATTGGCGTGCTCCTGTTCCTATTTCTTCAGGTCTTATGTTTTTATCGTGGGAGAATAGATCAATGCTTTCCCTCTCCAGTAGACTGCAGTCTCCAACCCTTTGCTTCTGATTATGAAACCAGCCCGGGGAACACGGGACAAAGAGAAACAGGGGCAGAGATAACACAGTGACTCAGTGGTTAGCACTGCTGCCTCATAGCATCAGGGGCACGGGTTTGTTTCTAGCCTTGGGTATGGAGTTTGCATGTTCTCCCTGTGTCTGCATGGGTTTCCTCTGGGTGCTGTTGTTTCCTCCCACAGTTTAAAGATGTACAGGTTAGGGTGGATTGGCCATGCTGAATTGCCCATAGTGTCCAGGGATGTGTAGGCTAGGTGGATTAGACATGATAATATGGGTTAAGGGGATAGGATGGGGGACTGGGTCTAGGTGGGATGTTCTTCAGAGGGTCAATGGGCCAAATGGCCTTTATCTGGACTGTGGTGATTCTATGATTCATTGGCTCCTGGAATCTGCTTCGCCGTTGGCAGATCCAATAGTGACCAAAACTCCAATTCCTTTCCTCTCCCTCAACTCTGTCATAGATCAAACATCTGTCTGAATCAGCTTTCAAAGTATCCAATGAGCCTGCCTCCATCACTCTCTGGAAAAGCAAAGTCAGAAACTAACAGCCTATGAGAGAAGAAATTCATAGGATCCCTACAGTGCAGATAGAGGCCATATGGCCCATCAAGGCTGCACTGATCATTTCCCATGTCTAATCCACCCAGCCTGCACATCACAGGCAATTTAGCATGGCCAATCCACCTAGCCTGCACATCTTTAGACTGTGGGAGGAAACTAGAGCATCAGGAAGGAATTCATGCAGACACTCACCCAAGGCTGGAATTGAACCTGGGTCCCTGGCACTGTAAGACAGCACTGCTAGCCACTGGGCTACCATGCCTCCTCATCTCCTTATTTTGAAACCATGCCTGCCTCATCCTAGTTTCCCTTACAAGATTCAGCATCCACCTGGTCAAGTCCACTTAGGATTTCTCATGCTTCAGTAAGAACAACTTTCATTCTTCTAAATGCACGACACTTTCCTAATAAAATAACCCCTTCATCCCAGTGATGAAGCTATTTCTTCGATAGGGCGCAGAATTTGAACATATGACGAGAGCAGAGAAAACTTCCACGGAATAGGTGCAATTTTCATACAAGAAAGTTTATTTTAAGACCAGGCACGGCGCTATAAAGATTGAGAAAGGGTCAGCAATAATTTTGCTGATGCTTTTAAGTCTCTCGAATTTTTATACCACTGGTTTCTGAGATTGAATCATCAATTTGTAACTGACCGCTTCCGCGTTTTATTCTCTTTGGAAGTTCATGTTGAGCAGTTTCAAATAGTAAGAGGAAAGATTTTTTTTTCTGGAATTACCATCCCTAAACCTCTCCATCCCTCTCTCTTGGTCCTTATTCAAGGTGTCCGATATAATCGATCCTTTTAACTAAGATTTTGTCACCTGCTCTAATATTTCCTTGTGTGGTATGGTGTCAAATGTTGTTTTGTTGTTCCACTGTGCAGCAGCTTGATGTTTTTTTTCTGTGTTAATTGGTGCTATATAAACGCAAGTCGTTGCGGGCTGTCATGACTTTTCCCTTTAATTTTCTGTTTCAAGACAACATCAATGACTTTAGACAACAGGAGAGGATTGATGGGGTTAGCGCAGTTGGTGTCATGTATGTGGACTTTTAAAAGGCATCCGACAGAGATCAGATTTATCAGCAAAATTAAAACCCAAGAGTTTCAAGGGTACAGTGACCGTGTGGGTACAAAATTGATTAAAGGTCAAAAAGCCCCCGCAGTGCCATGGCTGTTTCTGAGGTAGGAGGGAGGTATACACTGGTGTTCCCTGGAGGCTTGTACACCCTGTCACCCATCAGCTCCTCTTGGACTTGGAGGGCAGACTGCCATGTTGGCAAACAGGCGGCTCACTACTGCCTCTCCTGGCGTAGGCTGCTTCTGGCCATGGCTTCCCCTCCTGGCCTCAGAAACACGATAGCTGGCCATTCCCAGGTATCGGCTCCTTGGCTGTCAGCAACCCCCTCACCCACTCCCTCGTTCCCAGACTTCAGTCCTGACTCTGAGCTTCTGAATCTCACCTCTCATGCCAGCCATCCTTTTAGCCAGACTCAGGAGCAGGCCTGTGAGGAGATCCTCCGATTCCCAAAGATCAGGAGCGTGGGTCTGAAGTCTAACCAAAAGACCAGCAATAGATGTTAAAAAAAACACAATTACCTCTCGCCGTTTTGTGTACAAGGAGTGAACTGCCTCTGATTGGTCCCAATGAGTGAATTTTTTCAGGGTGATTCCGATGTCTGGTGCTCCCATTGTAATCTGAGCAGAGATGATAACTTGCAGAGGGACATCCAAATGAATCATCCATGAATATAACCCAGTCTTAGGGAATAAATCCAACAAGGAATTCAAGAGAGCAGTAAGAACTCGCTCTCATGTTGTGCTTGAGGTGAATAGCACAGATGCAATTAATGGAGATGAGATAATTAGACAAGGAAATACGCAGATGGCATTGGATGATCAGGCTGTGAGGATAAACACCAGCCTAAGACCCAAAGGTCCAACGGGAGGCCAGAATTGAAGGAAATCAGTATTGGCACAAAAATGGTGCTCTATCTGGACTTAACTAACAGGGGAATTAACAGGGTTAAAGCCTGACAAATCATCAGGACCTGATCATTTACATCCCAGAGTACTAAAGGAAATGGCCCTGGATGCATTGGAAAAGTATTGAAGACCTATTTAACGGTTTCAGTGCATTAGGTCCTAGATCGTTCTATGGAAAGAGGGAATGGTTGTTGGTGTAATCTCACCATCCTATTTTCCTTTAGTCCACAGGGTCTCTTCTGGTACTTGAAGCTGGCCCCCTCAAGTGACTTGGCTGTTCTTGGAATGGATGAGCTACTCTAATGGGTTGCGTTGAGACCTTCTTCTCACCATGTCGCGGGGCAGCTTGACATGGCTCCGGTTCAAGGTCGCACAGTCGATGGCCTTGGGTAGTTTCCTGCTGGCCTTCTCTTTGCTTCAGGTGGTCACCAGCACGTGCCCCAGGAGCTGCCAGTGTTTCGAAAAGAACGGCAAATTTGTGCGCTGCTCCGGCAAGAACTTGAAGGAAATCCCCAAGGACCTCCCTGCTGACACCGTGACCTTACATCTCAACTCCAACCGGATAACCAAAATACCCAGCAATGCCTTCAAGGACCTCTCCCTACTCAAGGAACTGGATTTATCCAAAAACGCCATTGAGTCAATAGATATTGAAGCATTCAAAGGAATCCCCGAGGGCCTCAAGATGCTTGATCTGTCGAGCAACAGGATCCAGAGTGTGCCAAAGGAGGCCTTCAGTAAAATTAAAGCAAAGATCCGACTCTCGGACAACCCGTGGCACTGTGAATGTTCGCTGCAGCAGATCATCGAGGAGCTGACCCTTGACCCGGAAACGGTCAACGACTTCATCTGCCACTCCTCGGTGCAGGAGGAGTACGCTGGCCAGCCGCTCATCCAGATCCTCGATTCAGGTATCAACTTCTGCAACATCCACCAGAAGACGACCGACGTCGCCATGTTCATCACCATGTTCGGCTGGTTCACCATGGTCATCTCCTACATTGTGTACTACGTGCGCCAGAATCAGGAAGACGCCAGGCGTCACCTCGAGTACCTTAAGTCGCTCCCGAGCACACAGATCACCAAGGAGTTTGACACCATCAGTACTGTACTGTGAGACAGATTGTGTGACACCTATGCGACCTTAATACTGGATGAGTCAGCAGTGCTCCTGGCTCAACCACAAGTGCCTCATTTGCTAATTAGAGATTTACGCCCTTTGACCTTTTCTATGATTTTTTTTCTCTCTGTGCGTTTGAAGTTCCTAATAAAGCTGTCAGAACGAAAGAGCTGTGGTGACTTTGGTAGACGACAAAATATGACTGTCTTCTTACCTGAGCCAGGTTTGTGAAATGGAGGGTGCGGGGTTAGGTGGCTGATTCCTCAGAAGACCTGGGAAACCTGAAGGCTATGGTGGTGCTGCAGATCAAAGCGTTTTAACACTCAGAACCAGGCAGCAGGCCCGTCCACAGTCAGGGAGTGGCATGACAGGGTGGGAGGGAGGGCGTAGAGGTCTTTACACATTGGGAGGAGGGAAGGGTGTACTACTGAGCACAGTCAATGGAGGAGGTGGGTAGGTGAATGTTCCTTAGCAATCTTGAGGTGGACAGGGGTATGGGGCGGGGAGTGTCATTCTGACTGGGTGGACGGAGAGGGTCTTGCATGTCCCATGTACCCGTCAGAGACACGAGAGGAGGGTTCCTGGCTGCTGGGAATCAGACCACTGTAAAATGTCGACTTTATCAGCAATGCATACGTACGTCTGTGAGCCAGGATATCCACAGTGTCCCCATGTACATCATCCAATGCTCATTCCCAATGAGACAGGAAGACTGGGACCAACGTCCTGGAAGGCAGCACATTCAAGGGCAATTAGAGGTGGGCAATAAATGCCAGACTAGTCAGTGCCACTCATATTCCAGTATGGACTGAATACTTGACTGTTGTATATAGTGGACATGGGCTTAGGTATAGTCTAATTTGAGGCAGTTACAATCTCTTTAAGGGCTACCGTTCTGCATGAAAAATTTTGGTTTGTGTATAATTTACAGCTTGGGTTATTTTTAGGAATAACAGCAACTGACTGATGTTATCAGAAGCTAAGGACAGGGAAGATTTATTGTAGTGATCCTGTTTATACCTCACAACATCTCAGATTGGCTGTACGTCAAGAAACTGCAAACTGAATTGGGAGGTAATTTAATTTTTATTTCCAATTAAATATTCAGGACAAAGTAAAGTTCCTACTTGTCATCTATTTAAAAAATAAACAAATTATGCAGCATTGAATGATATCCTGGTCACCATTCACCTTCAAGCAACGCTCTGGAGAGAAGCAAGTTCTCTCCAGTGTCCTGATCAATATTTATGCTTCAATCAATATCATTAAAAACTGATTATCTGGTTCATTATCATGTTACCATGTGTGTAAATTGGTTGTTCCTTTTCCAACAACGCAACAGGAGCATTCTTCAAGTTTATTTAGTTAGCTGTAAAGGTGCTTTGGGACTTGGGAATGGTGTCATATAAATGCAAGTCTTTTCCTTTTATGCACATTGCAGTCTCATCATAAAATGAATCATTAGGAACTCAATGCAATGGTTTAAGCAAGTTTCTCATACATGAAACAAAACAGCCATTATAAGCAGACCAAGTTCTACAAATAGCTAATGAGATTTGTAACAGGCTAATTTTCTAATCATAAAGGAAGGAATGTTAGATACTGAGAGAACTTGCATCCTTTGACAGATGCCTGACATCCAGCAGATTAGAGCTAAGTTTGGCCAATTGTCTAAAGGATATCATTTTCTTTGAAAGTAATGTTCCATTATTTTTATATTCAACCTGGCTCATGTTTATACACTGGAATGAGACTTGAACCCCCATTTTGTGCTTCTGTACCACCCACAGAACTAAATTAGCAATCATTACACTGTAGGAGCGAACAATGATTGATTGTGGAGTACAATGTTATGGCGTCTGCATCACATAGAGTCATAGGGTGATACAGTACAAAAACAGACCCTTTGGTCCAACCAGTCCGTACTGAACATAATTCCAAACAAAATTAGTCCCACCTGCCTCTCCTGGTCCATATCTCTCCAAACCTTTTCTATTCATTTATCCATCCAAATGTCTTTCAAACATTGTAATTGTACCCACGTTCATCACTTCCTCAGGAGGTTCATTCCACACACAAACCACCTTCTGAGCAAAAAAATTGCCCTATGTCTTTTTCAAATCTCTCTCCTTTCAACTTAAAAATGTTCCCCCTGGTCTGAAATCCCCATCTGAGGGAAAAGATACCTACCATTAACCCTATCTATACCCCTCATGATTTTATAAACTTCTATAAGGTCACCTCTCAACCTCCTGTGCTCCAGTGAAAAAAGTCCTAGCCTTTCCAACCTTTCTTTATAACTCAAACCTTCCACACCCGGCAACATCCTGGTAAATCTCCTCTGAACCCTCTCCAACTTAATAATATCCTTCTTATAACTGGGCAACCAGAACTGGATACAGTATTCCAGAAGAAGCCTCAGGATTCACAGAGTAGAGATAATTTTAACCTTTTGGGATAATGCAAAGTATCAGATTAATGACAATGTTTTGATAACCAGTTGTTCCTCAGGGTTTGATTAAGTCCATGGGTTAGTTTTTTTGAAAACAATAAAGCACACAATAAGTTATGAAGTTTACAATACAGCAGACCAACTGGTTTCTATAAGAGTGCAGCTTATAGTACTACAGCAAATTAAACGCCAGGTAGAATCACAACACTATTTCCCATTCAAAATGTTGTTCTTTAAAGCTAAACATTTTTAAAAGCAACACAGATGTGGTTATTACCAAACTTCTCCCTTGATTATTTTTTCCACTATCTGTCAATTCCCTATTATCCATTTCACACAGTCACACAGGATTGGGATTACCTCCAAGCGTTTTTAAAATCAGATTCACAAAGTAGTTTACACATTAACCAAAAATTACATACATTGCACAATGCAGGTGCAGGCCATACAGCCCAAATCTTCCATACGGACGTTTATTCTTCACACAAGACCCTTCCCACCTTACTTCATCTTGTGCTTTAACCTATCTTTCTATTCTTTTCTCCTTTCCCTGCTTGTCCAGTTTCCCATTCAATAAATCCATGCTTTTCATCCCAATTACTCCATGAGGTAGTGAGGTCCATATTCTAATCGTTCTCCGAGTAAGGACATTTCTCTTGAATTCTGTACTGGATTTATTAGTGACTATCATTTTGTTGTTCTGAAGAAGGGTCACACTGGGCTTGAAGCATTAACACCTGTTTCTCTCTCCGCAGATGCTGCCAGACTTGCCGAGTTTCTCCAGCACTTTCTTTTTTTCACATCATATTGTTGGGCCCTAGTTTGGTCTCTCTCAGGAGGAGAAACATCACCTTGCAGAATGTATCAAAAGTGTAAAGACATGTTTAACCGGAAGAATCCTCAGTCAAAATGTCAATGTGTCCCCCTCCCTGCAAATACTGACTGACTGGCTGTGTATTCCCAGCATTCCTGAACATGAGAAGGATTTCTTTCCAAACCATGGTCCTCACTGAGTCTCTAATTACAATGTTGACAGTACTTCTTGTTCAGCACCCTTGGATAACTAGCAGTCAAGTGCCAGCGACCATTTCAGTTTTAGTGTAATGTTGATGACAGATGTTCTGTGATTGGAGTTTTTTTTTGCTTCAGCCACATTAATGAGCTGTCACATGCAGGCCCTAATCTAAAACAAAATGTAACCTAATGAGAATTATTCTCATTGAGGTGACTGGTTCCTCAGCTCTTTTAACCAATGCCGGCCCAGGGAAATGTTCCACAAACGGACATGGGATTGCTTGGTGGTATGATATCGTGAAGTTCCTGAGACTGCAGAAGGGATGATATTTACTGACGTTGTCCATGTTCATATTCAGCAAGACCTGGACAACAACACCCAGGCTCGGGCTGATAAGTGGCAAGTGACATTTGCGGCATTCAAGTGCTAGGCAATGACCATCTCCCACAGGACAGAATCTAACCATTGTCCTTTGACATTAAATATCATTACCATCACTGAACACCTCCACTCCCCAGTCCCAAAGCTATCAAGAGCCTGGAGGTTACCATTAACCAGAAACTGAACTGGACTGGCCATACAAAGGCTATGGTTACAAGAGCAGGTCAGAGGCTAGGAATACTATGGTGAGTACCTAACCTCTTTATTCCCCAAAGCTTGTTCACCATCTACAAGGCACAAATCAGGAGTGTGATGGAATACTCCCCACTTGCCTGGATGGGTGCAGCTTCGATAATGTTTGAGATGTGCAATGCCATCCAGGACAAAGCAGCCTTTATGATTGCCACCTTCAATATTCACTCCCTCCTCCACCAACACACAAGTGGCAGCAGTGTGAACCATTTCCAAATAGGATCCCGCTAACTCCCTTCAATAGCACCTCCCAAACCAATACCCTCTACTACCTTGAAAGATGAGCACAACAGATACAAATTGGAACACCACTCACCTGCAAGTTCCCCTCCGAGCCACTCGCCATCCTGATTTCATAAAATCATAGAATCCCTACAGCGTGAAAGCAGGCCATTCGTCCCATCAAGTCCACACAGACCCTCTGAAGAGTATCCCATCCAGACTCAACTCCCCCACCCACCCTATCTCTGTAACCCTGCATTTCCCATGGCTAACCCACCTAACCTGCACATCCCGGGATACTATGGGCAATTTAGCACGGCCAATCTACCTAACCTGCATATCTGTGGACTGTGGGAGGAAGTTGGAGCACCCAGAGGAAACCCACGCAGACACGGGGAGAATGTGCAAACTCCACACAGACAGTCACCTGAGGCTGGAATTGAACCCAGGTCCCTGGTACTGTGAGGCAGCAGTGCTAATCACTGTGCCCCGGCCAACTTGGAAACATATCACCATTCCTTCACTGTCACTAGGTCCTGGAACTTCCTAACAGCACTATTGGTCCACCCTAAAGGCAGCAATTTGTTCAAGAATGCAGCTCACCAGCAAACCATCAAGGGCAATTTAGGAAGAATAATAAATATTGTGCCCAGGCCCTTTGAACAGGGAGAAGGG